TCAGGCTCCCTAATAAGTTCAGAGAGAGTGCTGTAGGCAGAATGTCTTTAAGAATAAACTTCTTGTTTATAATAAGCTTAAAATGTATTGAAAGATATTGCAGGGACAGTGCCAGTACAGGTTATAGGAAGCATCTTTCTGTGATTGTATCTTAGGTACACACCTTGTACAACCATCCCCAAGATATTGAGTGTGTTCATGATGTCTCGGCTCAGTTGTGCTGCTCTTGAGAGGCATTTGCTGGGTTTGTCAGCACACCTCGAGTGTTGTCGCAATGGAAGCTAAGGGGAAAAGCTGGTTCACTCTGGACCATGCATCATGTTGGCGATTTCACGTGTCAATATTTACTATGCATCATTGTGCATCACAGATCATGTTGTTCATCAATATTTTATTTGAATATTTATTGTATCTTTAGTTGTGAACAGAGAGGTGGGCTCACCTTGCCTAGGAGTCCAGGTCACCTTGTTCTCTGCCTTCCTCCTGATAACGATCATGGTCTGATGCTCTTCTTGGCAGGCCCCACACGTCCCTTCTCCCAGTGATGCCGACCACAGCCTTCCCATGCCGTCAGCACCGATCTTTCCCTCTTCTCCCTCCATCAGATTCTGAGTCTCTAGAATCTGCCTCCATCCTTCTGCTTTGCACTCTTCTAGTTCCTCCCAAATAAGTGAATGGTTTCCTGAGAACTCCAAATTCCCTGCAGCTTGAATTTTAGGTATTAGAGTTGGGACTGAGCCTCAAAGTCGGCGGGTTCCGGGTTATAGTAGAAAGTCAGGGGCAGTTACAAGAGGCTCAGAACTCAGATATATGGGTGGGGTGTTCTTTCCTTTGTTGACAAGACTCACACCAATATCATTGTATACATGATTTTTTTTTTTAATTAAGAAGTGACTATACCCTAAAAACCCAGGAACCAGCAGCCTATCCACTTTACAAAACAAACACACAGCAAAATAAACTCAGAAAGTAACCTGGTTGGCCCAAGGTCACACCGTGAGTTAGGGTCCTGCTGGATTTAGGCTACAGTCACTAGATTCCCAGCCCTTGAGCTCCCCAGCACCCCACTCCTGAACACCATGGATCTCCACAATTCCATGCAGAAATGAAGGATTCCTGCTGGGCACTGGTTGACTCAGGAGGCAGCAACTTCTCCCTCCACAGAAATGTTAAGCTTTACTGAAAATCATCACTTTGATATATCAAGGCAAATAACAAAGAAATGATTTTTTAAAAAATGGTAAAAAGAAAAAAGAAGGAAAGAGAGAGAGAGAGAGAGAGAGAGAGAGAGAGAGAGAGAGAGAAACAAAACCTGTCTTACCACAGCCAGACACAGGTGAATGAGAAGCTCTCAGTTCCAAGGGGCCACTGAGGAAATCATGGAAGAACACTGCTTTTACAGAAACTAATGGTGTGGCCGTGAGAGACAGTAACAGGATCAATGAAGTAGGCTGGGCAGGAAGTGGAGATGAAATGTTGGGGCTGATGGACAGTTCAAACTACAGTAAGAACGGCCTTTGTCAAGAAAACAAGTAACCACAAGTTCTGGTGAAGATACGGGGAAAGGGGACTCCTTGAACACTGTTGTGGGAGTGTGAACTGGTACAGTCAGTACAATAATTAGTGTGACGTTTCCTTAAAGAGAGAAAAGTAGGTATACAATACAGCCCAGCTACTCTACTCCTGGGCATATACCCCCGTGGACTTTGTGTCTTCCTACAGAGACACTTTATATCTCTCTACAGAGAACGTCCATGTTCATTGCTGCTCTACTCACAAAAGCCAGGAAATAGGATCAATCAGCAACTGATGAATGGGTAATGGAAATGTGATACATTTGCACAAAGAAATTCTATCTGGCCTTGAAGAAAATTGAAGTAATGAACTTTGCAGGAAAATGAATAGAATGGGAAAAATATAAAAGAGATAATCCAGACCTAGAGAGACAAACACTACATGTTCTGTTTTATATGTAGGCTGCTGGGGGAGAGAAGTTTCCAACAGTCTTATGAAACTGTGAACCTGTGAGCTACTATAACAACCTGTCTGGCTAGAGGTGATCACTGGTGCAATAATGGTATGAACTTACATGAAAACATACACCATTAATGAGAAGGAGAGTGGGAAGGAAAAAAGGAGAAAGAATATGTTGGGGACTATGAATGTGACCACACGGTAACACAGAGAGAGGCAGGTAGAGAGAGAGGAAGGCTTGAAGGCAGACTAGAATTTTGACCTTCTGCCTATCACTTGTATAGGAGACCTAGCATCACCAGGATTCCAGAAGTAGTGTGGGATATCTTTTTGTATGCTGTGAATATGTGTTGCTCTGATTGGTTAATAAATAAACTGCTTTGGCCTATGGCAAGGCAGCTTAGAGGCAGGAGGGAAAGGAGAGAGACAGGAAAGAGAAAGGCGGAGTCTAGGGAGACACCAGCTTGCTGCCCAAGGAACAGCATGCCAGCAGACCAGTAAGCCATGGAGCACATGGCAAAACATGGATTAATAGAAAAGGGTTAATTTAAGTTATAAGAGCTAGCTAGCAAGAGGCCTGCCATGTGCCATGCAATTAGTAATTTTTTTAAGCCTCTGAGTAATTATTTTATAAGTGCCTGTGGGACCTCGAGCAGGGAGGGACTGGAGAAACCTTCTGACTACACAGAAGCTTAGTTTTAAAACAAGCTCTTTGTGGGCCAGAGAGACATTACTCTTCCAGAGGACCTGAATTGCGGGAGCAAGCTCAGATCTCTTGGGTACCTCTTCAGAGCTCTCACAGCCTGGGAGTGTTGTACCTGTGTCTTGAAACCCCCGGAGACCACCAAGAAGCCCGGTTTCTGATGCAAGCACACAAGGGTCTTTTTATTGTCAGGTTCGAACCTGGACACTGCCCAGTGGATGGAGGGAAATGCAGCGGTGACCCTGGCTCAGGGGTAGGAGGGTTTTTAGAGGAAAAAAAACCCCACAAGCCAGCAATTACATGCCTTAGTGATTTTGGGGATTGGGTAAAAGGGATACTTTTTTTTTTGAACTATAGGTCTAGACTTTTGACACAAAACCACATTTGAAACTATTGGGTTAGACTTTTGGCGCGGAACCATAACCTGCTGACAGGATATCTGGATATTTGCAGGGGCTGTAAACCTCCAACAGGATGTCTGCAGTAGCATCCGGATCTTGTTAAACTTTACTGCCCTGTTTTTTAGTTGACTGCTTCTAGGGTATCTGTTTGAGTTATCATGGCACATTCCTGAGGTTCTTCCTGGAACTGAGTACAGCCCCTGGCCACCAGGTGGTCTAAGATGGTGGCTCTTCTCTAAGATGGAGTCTGTAAAGTCAAGTCTAGGCCTTCACATTGCCGTCACAGGAGAAGTAGCTAACTCGCTAGGAAAGGGAGGGGCTAGAATTGCACCTAGTACCGCCCCAATGCACACCCAAACTGATGGACGTGGGGAAGGGAGTGGGTGGAAGCTGAGCCCCAGGGAGTCTCAGGGAGTGTGCCAGAGAGTACTTGAGGGAGTGTACCAGGGAGTACAGCCGAGGAAGACTCCACAGAGGTCTCACCTCAATTCTGAGTTCAGAATTTCATCCCTATTCAGAAACAGCCTCTCTCTGCAAACTGGCAAATACGAGTTCCTGTAATTCCTGCCACATTTCCTCCCATTGCAAAAGCTAATGAAACAAAAGTCCCTGGAGGCTCCGTTGACGGGGGCCCTTGTCACGGACCATCTAGTTCTACAGAGCTTTAAAAAGAGAGACGTGCAGTCTGATGCTAAAATCTGTCTTTGCATTGTCTTCTTCTCATGGCAAGATACAAAAATTAATGAGCAGGGGTACATTTCCAGTGTGGAGACAGAAGGAGTCTCTGGTCAAGTCCCATGGAGGAAATAGATGACAGGCAGAAGGGCGGGTTGAGGAAATGTAAAAGGAAGACATAAACCTAGAGAGAAAAAGGAAAGTTTACATGGTCTGTAAAACAAGAGTTCTTCCCAACTCATCCACAGGAGAAGAGACAACAGACAGAAGCCCAGGCAGGGTTCCAATGGTACCCACTGGAGACTGCATGGCACAGCTCGGCAGCTGGTCTGCCCTGGCTTTAACAGTGTCTGAAAAGAAATCTGGGAAAACTGTGTGAAACGAGCTATTGAGTTTTAGAAAAGCCAGGATGTGAGAAACACAGAAGTCTCTTTAAACCTGTGCCTCTGTAACATGCATCCTAAGTTCTTAGGTAATGGAGAGTCAGATTAGAGGATAGTGTAGCCTGGTGGTAAAATATTGTTAAGGTAGATACAACATCTCAAGATGCTGAGGGAAAATGAGCCCGTGTGAGCCAAATTTTCTTCATGCTGCCTCGTTTAAGTAAGGCTTCCAGCTGCCCACAGATGTTGGAGGGAGAGCTGTTGCCAAAATCCACAGCAGGAAACTGGAGAATGCATCTCTCTCCTCTGCTCCCATGCTCCAGGTCCTTCCCAGAGTTGCATTCGATGGTACATATTTTACTGTAGAACACTTAAAAATCAGTGTTTTTCTGAGATCCTTGTAGATTCATGTGCAGTTGTGACACAGAGATCCCGGGCCCTTCACCTACTCTCCCCCAACAGTAACATCTTACAAAAACTGTACTGTAATCTGAAAACTGTCATATACATGGACAATACACAGACACATTCATGTTGTCGTCTACTATTTCCACCCACCTCCTTAATCCCTACCAACCATAATCTACTGCATAATTTTGCCATCTGAAGGCCAGTCTATAAAATCAGACAGCATTTAATTTTCAACGTTAACTTTACCACGAAGCAGGCTTTCTGGAGAGTCATCTAGCGGTTGGAGCTGTCAACAGCTGGTTGGCACACAATAGGAGGTGCTGTGAGGCCTCGAAGTGTGACAAAAGCCATCAGATCACCTTCCCTTCTCTTCGGTGTCTGTGTTGTGTCAAGTCTGAGAACTATACACGTAGTCCTAGATCCCAACTGTTTCCTATCCTTTTTGTTTTATAGCAGGATCGATACGATGGCTCGGCCAGTAAAAGTGCTTCTGTGTGATCCTGACTACTCAATTTGGTCCCTCGAACCCATGACGGAAGGAGAAAACCAACTCCTGCAAGCTCTCCGTGTTGACTGAAGTGTTGGCTCTAACTGCTGGGCAGTTTTCTGTGGCATGTACACACCACCAAGTGCATCCATGGCTGAAGGAAATCTGGACTGCTTTCAGTGTGAGGACAATTAGGAATCGAGCTGCTATAAGCCTTCCACATACGAGATTTTGTGTGAACAGAAGTTTTCACTGCTCTGGAGCAAATGTCCAAGAGCCTGATTTCTATGTCCTACAATAGAATCACGCTCATCTCTTTAAGGAACTGCCAGGCACCACGGCTCCCATGTATGACTTCCTGTCTATGAACATGGTACAACTTCCCATTTATTTAGGTCACTTATTTCTTTTGTATTGGTATGCAACGGTCAGCGTTCAAGATTCTTACTCTTTTTGTTAGATTTACACCTCAGTGTTTCATTTTTGCGGAGCTGAGGGTTGTATTTTGTTGTTGATACTCTTACATCTGTGTCCATTGCTTGGACATAGGAATACAGTTGATTTTTCTGTTTATCTTGTATCATGAGCTATGTGCCGTGGCATATGTTTTATGCTCATAAAACCAAACAGACACAAATCATGACAACAGCAACTGCTGAAAAACACTATGACCAAGAGTAACTTATGGAAGAAAGAGTTTATTCTGGCTTAAAGTTCTGGAGAGGAAGACCATGGCGGTGGGAGAGACATGGCATTGGGGAGACATGATGGCTGGAACAGAAAGCTGAGAGAGCATGTTGTCAACCACAAACATGAAGCAGAAAGTGAACTGAGAGTTGGATAAGCTGGCCCCTGTGACATGCTTCCTTCAGGAAGGCCACACCTCATGAACATTCCGAGACAGCGCCACCCACTGGGAAACACGATTTCAAATACCTCAGCCTCTGGGGGACAGTTCTCACTTAGGTCACCATAGTCACCTAACAGCCTTCACTGGAGTTATTTTACCACCTGGAAGGAAGGAGAAAGATTATCTACAAGCATCTAGAAAACAGTTACAATATTCTCACAGTGTTAGAATCTTTCTACCTTCTAATAGAAGTTAGAAGACTCAAGAGGAGAAAGGAAGTCTGTGGTGTTTACCACCCTTCACCTTCTGTTCCCCTGACGTTCAAGACTCTTTTTGTTGTTTATTTTTTGTTTAAAAAATTTTTAGTCACCAGGCAGTGGTGACACACACCTTTAATCCCAGCACTTGGGAGGCAGAGGCAGGCTGATCTCTGTGAGTTCGAAACCAGCCTGGTCTACAGAGTGAGTTCCAGGACAGGCTCCAAAGCTACATAGAGAAACTCTGTCTTGAAACAAACAAACAAACAAACAACAACAACAATAACAAAAAAAAGTTTCCAGTCAACATTTTAGGTCTTCTGGCAACAGGAAACCTTAGCTCACCACCCCCTACCCCAGGAGGATCTGTCACATGAAGATCTGAAAGAATTTATTCAGGTAAAATTTACAGGACACTGGTCATGAGCATTCCATGGCAGAAACATAGAATAACATGTTTGTATGTTTCAATGGTGCTAGAATAACAATAACACCACAAGATTCAGTTGTTTTGGTGACAAGAATCTGTCCTGTAATCCTGCCTATTCTGGTAATCTGATCAAGGTGAATGTAGATTCTTTTATTCCACTGTTTTTTACCAATGTAACCTCATATCACACACCACATAGTAAATGTCTCTCTAGCTCTGTACGCATATATGTGGTCTATGGAATGAGCATAAGTTAAAGAGTCCGAGGCAGAACTGAAAGGGTTTGAAAAGTGCGCTGAGAGTCGGTATGGCTAAGATACTGCACCAGATCAGTGCCTGAAAGGAAGCACTCCTGAAGCCACTGGAGTCAGGGTTTAAGAAGAAAGCTGTAGAGCCCAGCTGTGAGGTAAAAGGATGGACCAGCGGTCTGAGAGCAGAAATGGGTTCAGGTCCAGGTCTAGATGAGTGAAAAGATGGATGAGCACACAGTTGAGTACAACACCAGCAGGGGACTGAGCTGTGCTGGACCTCGGGGACAGCCAGTCCTCTGCTTGTTGGTCCTCGACACACATACTGATATCAAAAGACAGGTTGGTGTGGGGTTACTCCGTTTGGCAGTGTGGTGTGGACCACATGGCGTGGACCACATGAGCTGCTTGACAAAGTCCCAGCATGTCAGCATTGCAGACCACAATTCTCCGGCACCCTTTTATTTTCGTTTCTAAAGACTCTCACTATGTGTTATGGGAGTTCCCTTATGCCTTTTCCTTTGGGAAATTTTGTGTGGGCTTCAGTGGAGGATGAGGATGTATTCAATGGCAGCCTCTTTAAACAAAATAGTTCTTTTAAAAAAAATCCCCACCACCATGGAACCATATAGTGTGATGACTGACGACTCCCACACAAGAGAACACCAAGCTGCTAGAAAACTTAGATAAGTAGCATGTGCTCGACAAGGTATATTTGTTAATCAAGATTTATAGATTCCTAAGGTCTACTCAGGTTCACAGTTCTGTTTGTCTAGCTTCATCTTTGCTCACTTAAGCTTTAGCTATTTGGATAAACTAAGCCATATTGAAAAAAAAAAAAAAAGGCAATGTTCTGTGATGAGGTGTCTGATACCCCCAGAAAGTCCTTTTCCCAAGGTCAGGCATTTAAACAAAAGTCCCCCTTCCTTTAGGGGCTTGAAGAAAGTTCCTTCTTTCTAAAAAGGGAGTCATTCTTATTTTCGGCAAGAGGAACTGTGGCCCTTCCATTAACATATGACTATGGTGCCTATTAACTTGTCGAGGTCAGTGTTAGCCTCCTCAACCCTGATCACAACCTCCCCTCCCCTCACAAGCCCCCTTTCTCCCATTCCCATCTACTCCTTTGTGCAATTATAGAGTATGAAAGGTGCAGTCTTTTTTCAATAAACGGGCAGCCATCCCGATTCACCCTCAGATCACGTCAGTCTCCTCCCCCCACCGACTCCACATCGCCTCTTTGGGACCTAAACCCCACTGGAGCTAGACTTGGGCAGCAGCATTAGGTGTCTGTCACTTTATAGGGTTCAGGAGAGGGTGTTACACCCTTTCTTGGTCTGGTATATCTGATGAAGTGTTGGGCCTGGTTTACCTGGTGTGGTTTTAATATATCTATGTGCCCTTGTGGTCCCAATTCACCCCAATAAATTTATAGTGCTGGCTCCTCATTTGTGGTCTGATAACACATTAGTTACAAAGATATTTCCTTGCCACCATAGTCACAGTGAGGAAAAATGGAGTCTACTAACAACTTTTTTTCAAGGCACTTTTTAAACCCTAGGATTATACAAAACCACCAGATAAAAATAGCTAATTCTTGGGCTTTAAGTTTCGAAGTCTGTTTTCCCATCTGTTATCAAAGTCTAGGTCTACACCACCAAGCAAGATGGAAGGTTGGGCAATTGTTCTTTGACTCAATGGCAAATGGGCTATCAGAGCTGTGAAGGGATGTCTGGGCTCATCCGATTCAGCCTCGGTCGAAACAGGATCCCTCCAGATGTCTACCAGCCAGAGAGTGGGTGTCGGTGCTGCTTGTGTGGCACAGGTTGCCGGGAGGTCCTCACCTTGCCAGGCAGCCCATGCGACCATTGGACAACCCAGACTGCCACAGCCGTAGCTTCTATTCATGGATTCTAGTTACCCCATTTAGATGACAGCGTAAATAGGTTCACTACGCTTCCTGGAGAGCTTTCCAAAATGACAAGGTGAAGACAGCCATGGCGTCTCCCTGGGTGAACAATCCTGACACTTAAGAGGGCAGGCCTGGCGACACGCAGGAGTTCTCTGTTCCGGGCAAACCTGAGTGTGCACTGCAAGGTCATCTCTTCGCTGGAGGCTGTGACCTTGAAAGCCTGTGCTCCATCCACACAAGGCAAAGCCTCTCAAATGACGCAGCTCTCCCTTTTCCATGGAGGCAAGCTTTCACCATGTCCAGGCCCGAAGAGCTCAGCAGCGTCTACACCAGCCCCTCCTTTCTCCAGAAATGGGAGGGTCCTGCATAACCAAGACATTGCTCTTCTGCAAAGAGCTGAGAGCTGGGCATGGCAGCCCAGAACTGTCTGTATTTTTGAACTTGAGAGGTGGAGGCAGGAGGATCACAAGAGTGGAGCTAGCCTTGGCTACATAGTAAATTCAGGGCCAGCCTGGGCTACATGAGTGCGTGAGACCTTGTCTCAAAACTAACAAACAAACAAAGTCCTGAACCGCCACCCCCAAATATTTGTATCTGTATCCCAAATATTTGAATATTTCTCGCACAGCACCATTCTGGTGTGAGTGGTGATGAGGGAACACGATGAAGACACAGAGATGGGGAATGACAAGACACTGTTCATCCTCCGCCTGGAGAAACATTTTATTTTCATGAACGTGACGATGGACTAACCAATCACAGCTAGAAAGGGAACTGACCGCCGGGACTCTGTGGCCTGTGGACCCACGGTGTCCCTGCTTCACTCCGTCTCTGTGGAGGGTGGTCCTCAGAGCTCGTACATGCACAATGCGGAAGCTCAGAACAGATTGACCGCGAGTTTACTGCAGATCGGGTCAGAGCGCTCGTCAGGTGTGTGACTGCTTTTTACCTCAGAACTTCCTTAGCCAAAACAAAGAAGACAAGAGAAGGAGGGGCAGGCAGGGAGAGAAGGAAACAGGAGGAAAGGGAAGGAAGAAAGGAGGAAGAGATGGGGGAATTAAGTTCCAAGGGGTGCATTAGTTGTATAAAAAAGAAAATGGTTTTAGGGCTGTGGTGTAGCTCAGTGATAGAACACTTGCCTGGCTTGTGCAGGCCCAGACTTTGATCTTACGCATTGCATAAAAAAAAAATAAATAAAATAAAAATAAATAAATAAATATAAATAAATAAAATTCTGAATGCTACTTTGTCTTTTGGGTTTTGTTTTTGTTTTTGTTTTTTGGTTTTTTGGTTTTTTGGTTTTTGGTTTTTGGTTTTTCCAGTAGACTAGGCTGGCCTCGAACTCACAGAGATCTGCCTGTCTCTGCCTCCCAAGAGCTGGGACTAAAGGTGTGCACTGCCCAGCTTGAATGTTACTCTGTTTTATAAAATAAGTAAATAGATAATATGATGCTTGGGATTATGAGGCACTGTCTCTAATTTCTGCAGTTTTATTTATTTCAAATATACTTTAAATAATTATTGAATTTACTATTAGTGTTTGTGCATGTGTGTGCGCGCACGCGCTGTAGTGCATGTGTGGAGGTCAGAGAAGAGTTTTTCCGAGTTGGTTCTCTTCTCCCGCCTTTCCATGGGTACCAGGGATCAGACTCAGCTTGTGAGGTTTCCGCAGCAAGCGCTTTCACTTCTGGACCATCTTGCCAGCCCCTAAAATATCCTTTCCTTCCTTCCTTCCTTCCTTCCTTCCTTCCTTCCTTCCTTCCTTTTTGTTCTTGTTTTTATTTTGTCTGAGACAGGTTTTTTTCTCTGTGTAGCCCTGGCTGTCCTGGAACTCACTCTGTATGTAGATCAGGCTGACTTTGAACTCAGAAATCCACTTGCCTCTGACTCCTGAGCGCTGGGATTAAAGGCGCGCACCGCCACCATCGGGCCATATCTTTTTACCGCCACCATCATCGGGCCACATCTTTTCTTTTTTTTTTAACAAATAAGCAAGGGACGTGGGAGGCAAGCCAAGTTATCTCCACATTAAAGTATCTTAACTTTAAAGAGAGGTTAACAATGACCTTTAAGTTATGGAGAAGAGGGGCTTCAGAATACATCTGCAATAAACAATTGTTATTTAGGTACTGAGGAATTTGATTTTTGTTTAATTCTCTTTTGATCTTAAATATCCCTGTCATGAGTCTTAAAGACATTAACTCCTTCTGGATTATATGAACCTCCTTAACCGCAAATGTCCTATGAGCCACATGTGTGGCCGTGGGGAGCGGCTTGGGCTGCATTTTGTGAAGGATGGGGCTGTTTCCCAGCAGTGAGGTACGCATTTTCCATCCAGACTGAACAAAGGCATATGCATGTAGCAGACACTTCATGAATGGTGATTGTGACGTGAATGGTTAAAATAAGCTGACAAAAGGTATGAATGCCGTCGCGTATAACCCGTATGTCTTCGATATTAAAATGTCCAGCTTATCTATTAGTACCGTGACACGCACATCAATATGTGTTTTCCAGTGAGCCTGGAGCCTCTGCAGGTAAATGTGAAAGGTGGGCCAAATCACATGCTTTAATTGTTTTCCATTTATTTGGCTGTATTTCCCCCCAGATTCCTGAAATAAAAATATATTGCCTATGGCATGAAAATAAAAATATATTTACAAAAGAGCGAGAGGTTGCTGTAGAAATGTATCTTGACCTGGTCCTTAGACAGTATCAGCTGTTGGAAAAAAACAAGATTGATCACTGAGTAGAATTAGATAGTCAGCACATGTTTCTAGCTCAAACAATTGGGTAATTAGGTCTACCTATAAGACCTGTGGGGTTTGATGTACTGTTAAGGCTGCTGTAATCGGCAGTATCGCTCAGTATCATCTCTGGTTTATTGGGAGGTACAGACAGAATGTTATCATAACATCCATTCTTTCCAACAAGGAGCAGGGCTGTTGAATACTATCTGCCACACCCTAGTCAGAACAGACCCAGCGCAGTAGCAGGGCAGGTGGTTTTTCTGGCAAGACATCAATAATCCATGACCAGAAAAAAGGATATGCTATGTTGCTGTAATCACAATAGGAATAAGTCTAAAGAAGAAAGGAGCAGTTGCTCTGTGCTAAGGGGTTGTGGGAAGGGAGCCAGCTGCCGATAAGCAGCAGCTCACCTCCACCCACCCAGAACAGCACTGGACCCTAGATCTGTACCAGTCTGACCATTTCCCTGGCTTGACCCTCATAGAACTCTCTGCCCCACTAACAAAAAAACAAAAAACAAAAAACAAACAAACAAACAAAAAACAAACAAAAAAACTGTCTCAGCTTTGAACTCTCTAATTTGTTCAGTCCATTCATATATTTATTTTGTCATTTAAAAAGTAACTTTGGGGGCTGGACAGATGGCTCAGCAGTTAAGAGTACTTGTTCTTCCAGAGGACTTTAGTTTGGTTTTAACAACCCCCACCACCCAGTGCTGGGCAGCTCACAGACACCTGTTAGCTCCAGTTGACGCCCTCTTCTGGCCTCCACAGGCCCTGCGTTCATGTGCACATTCACACACAGACACACATATGGATACAAAATAAAATCTTTTCAAAAGCATGACAAAGCTTGCTTTTTTCTTCCTTTCTTCCTTTCTTCCTTTCTTTCTTTCTCTTTCTCTCTCTCTCTCTCTCTCTCTCTCTCTCTCTCTCTCTCTCTCTCTCTCTCTCTCTCTCCCTCTTTCTCTCTGTAGCTTTCGAACTCCAGCTATGTTCAGACAATGTTGCAGAGGCTGGGGAAACTGGAATGAATTAAAAACTAACCCTGAGTCCCTACTCACATGAATCATGCATATTTGTGGAAGACACAGAAAAAATAAACAAAGAGATAAACAATGTAAGGCCAAGTATTAATCACTGTGGACTAATAACTTTTAAAGTCCAGACAAGGTATAGAGAATGGCAGAGGTCACTGCCGTAGAGAAGGGACAAAATCTTTCTGGGAAGTGACATTTCACTGAACAGAGGAGCAAGACTTTTAGAATCCACAGGTTAAGCATTCTAGGCAGAGGGAACAGAAGCACAAGCTCTCCAAGATGGAAACCTGTTGGAGAGGCTGCAGAGGAGCAGTGCGGGTGATGTGCACTGATTGTGTCGGGCAAAGGTTGGAAAGAGTTCAGAGACTTGGCCAGTGCTCCGATCCAGGAGGGCCTTGTACGTGGTGTGAGGATGCTGGGCTTTATGGTGATTTAAGTGTTTTGAGGATGGGAGTGATTTGGTTGGTTAAAGTTTGTAACAGAACCCATTTGGCTGCTGTGAAGAAAAATAACCTGGTCAGAGGGGGAAGCAGAGGTCTGTGGCTGCTGCCCTGGCCGAGTAGGATTGAGGGGGAAGCTGCCTAGTTCCACGTGTGTTAATGAATACCTGGCGATGTCAAGCAAGAGGCAGGCACAGTCACCAGTCACCCTAACAGCCAGGGTGCAGCAGCTCCACGCAGTGGTACCTTTCACTGCGATAGGAACAAACCGGGGGGAAGAATTGGGGTTGGGGAGGTTCTGGGATCCCATGTGGGATCTGTGAAGCTTGAGAGTCCATCATACAACCAAGCATGGGTCTGTCAAGCAGGCGTTTGCTTAAGAAGTCTGTGCTCAGAGAGTTTGGGGATGAGGACAAATGTAGGAGTCATCAATGTTTGGAATAACACTGTCTAGTACATATATAATGCACCCTGTGTGTACTTATAGTATACTAATGTAATATTAATATATCATACAATATTGTATTGTATTAATCATATCCTTAATAGTAAGAGAGCAGGACAAATTAATTTTGACCATATGTTTTATTTAACCAAGTACACCAAAAGAATCTTATAATTTTATCATGTCAAAATATAAAAGTACCAATGAGTAATTTTTACACTTTAGTGTTTGCATGGCGCTGAAGATTGAAGCTAGAGCCTTGTACGTGCTGGGCAGGTGCTCTACCCCTGAGCTACATCTCCAGCCATTTACATTGTTTTTAAAATAGAAAAACTATAACGGACACATACTAAGGGTAAGTGTTTATGGTTACCAAGCGATGCTTCAGTACGTATCACCAATACTTCAGAGGTAACAGCGTGTGTGTGGCAGGAGGTTACTGTGTTATCACAGGTCTCACTTCAGTCCAAAGGACTCAGTGAGAGGCAGTGGTGACAGAAGAGAAGAGAAACCCAAGAGGCCCGAGGATGAGCCTACTGGAACTCCAACACTTGGTGGCCAGGGAAAAGTGGAGGATGCCAAGTGAACGTGGACAGGGTGGGAATGCTCTGCATCCTGCTAGGGTATGGGGGACTGACGGGAGCAGGCACTGAAGACCCATTCACGTCATGCTGTAGCTATGACTCGGTTTTTAAAGGTCCATTCTAAAGCTAAGAGAGAGGGAGAGACCTCAAATGAGGAGCGTGTGGGGACCCAGAAATCAAGCCATCTGCAGTGTGAAACACGAGTAAAGGGTTAGATGAGATTAGGACCAGGGCCCAACCACAGTCTGGGCAATGTCATTCGATGTTGCAGCAAGACCAGACTTAGCAGGGGAGACGAAAGCTCAGCTTGAAGCCCATCCGAGGAGAGTGAGGATGCTTCTGCTTTTCAGTGTCTGTTCACTGCACTTTTCCTCCTGCTTCCCTGCAACCTCGTCTACTGTAACCGTTAAGACTCTGTAATGACTCGCCCAACCCCCAACACACACAACCAAGAAGCTGGAGAGCCACTAGACAGTGTGACTGGTGGAGATCCGTGACAGCTGGGTCCCACCCTGTTTGGCAGAGGCCGAGAATCAACTCTGTCGCTTCAGATCCCCAAGGGCCCGGAACTTTGTAATACAGGTTCACCGGGCAGTGAGGGCTAGGTTGGCCTGAGGACTGCTTACAAAGCATATAAGCAGCTCTTTCTCCTTCCCATCTCTCTCAGCAGAAACCTTACCCTTCCACCAAGGTACAAGAGTAGGCTAAACCAGGGCACGGGGTGATGGCTAAGAATAAGATACAGACAGGAGGAGCTGGTATTAGATACAAACCTGACAGTGAATCACGGATACATGCCGCCTCTCTCCTATCGCTGATGATGACAGTGAATCATGGATACATGCCGCCTCTCTCCTATCGATCACTGATGATGCCTCCCAGCTCAGCTTTTTTTTTTTTTTTTTTTTTTTTTTGGTTTTTCG